CCACTTGCCTTTTCTAGTCTTTACATCTCTTAGGTCTGCTTTTGTTTGGGGGGGATATTCCTCAGTAAGCTCCTGCGCATTCTCCCGTCTGCCTGCCATTTCTGAGCATATGTCGTCAGTGGTGCTCAAGTTGTCTCAGTGTTCTGTTGCTGTGACGAGACACCATGACCACAGCAACTCTTACAAAGGAAAGCATTGAAAGTTTCAGGTTTAGTCTGTTGTTGTCAGTGGCAGGGAACATGGCAGCACACAGGCAGACATGGTTGCTGAGAGTTCTACATCCCAAGCTGAAGGTAGCAGGAAGAGAAAGACATCCTGGGCTTGGTGTGGGCTTTTGAAACCTCAGAGCCCACTCCCCCCGACCCCTAGTGACACACTTCCTCCAACAAAGACACACTCTCTAATTCTTTTAAAAATTGAGACCCCTGGTTGATGTGGGATTCCCCTCTGTATACTGTGAACATGTTTTATTACCATTGGTTAATAAAGAAGCTTCTTTGGCCCATGGTAGGAGAGAATGTAGCTAGGTGGGAAATTCAAACAGATACAAGGAGAAAGAAGGCAGAGTCAAGGGAGATGCCAGTAGCCACCAGAGAAGCAAGATGTGAGGTAACAAGCCACGAGTATCATGGTAAAATATAATAGAAATGAGTTAATTTAAGTTGTAAGAGCTAGTTAATAATAAGCCTGAGCTAATAGGCCAACTAGAATGTAATTAATATTAAGCCTCTAAATGGTTATTCTAAAAGTGACTGCGGGACCAGGCAGGACAAGAAACACCTGGTATTCAAACCTGTGTGCCTATAGGGACATTCTTACTCAAACCACCACACAAGCCTTGGACAAGAAAAGGTACTTGTCCTTTAGGCTCTGAGTTTTCTTGTTACTTCCTCTTTCTAGGAATACCAAAACCAGGAACCTTGAGTCTCTCCTGCCAGGACGTGAAGGTCCTGGGCTCAATGGGAGCTTAAAGTGGGCCCTACTAGCTTTGGAGGTGGGCTGGGGACAGAGAAGCAAGTGGGCTTGTCATGGTGGGTATCTGTCATGGAAGTGCTAAGACCCTTGAAAGCAACAGCTGTCTCTCCAACACCCTTAGGGGGCTGCACTGAAAAGTATATCTCTTAGGAAGTCAAACTTTGTTTTCTATGTCACACACACACATGTGTGCAGGCACACACACATGCATACGCACACGTGCGCACACACACATGCACACATGTGCACACACATACGCTCACACACATGCATACACACATGCACGTGCACACACACACACTCACACGGCAAGGGGAAGCTGCGCTTGAGTAAAGAATTAGGAAAATGCTTAATGATGCAAATGCTTGAAGTCAGAAACAGAAAGGTCAAGGCATTCTCAGGTTGTAAGCTTGGGCAGGTTATTCAGGCTTTATTGAGGGAGGAACTGAGGTCTGATGAACAAACTGGCATTCTAACCACAACCCAGTTGTTAGTCCACAGAAATATCCTGTTACTATTATGAAGATAAAGTGCTTCCCCCTGCTTTCTTTCTCTTTACAAAGATTTTTTTTTTTTAAAGTCTCCCTTCCCATTCAAGTTAGTGAGGCAGGAAGGTCTCAGGACAGCCATGCCTGCAGCATTAGCTAATCAGTCTCAAGAAACATTCCATTCTGCTTAGGAGGGCCTTGGAGAATGGTTTGCTCATGGTGGCTTTTAAAGTACACAGAGGGTTGCCAGGCTGGATGGACTCCCTATTGGGCTGGTGAGCTGGTTTGAGGCTGGTGCCCAGCAGGCCTGCCTCCTGCTGGGAGGCAGACTTGTGGTAAGGACTTGTCTTTTTCTGCCTGGTTCTTGGTGTGTGTGTGTGTGTGTGTGTGTGTGTGTGTGTGTGTGTGTGAAGTGGAGAGTCACGGATTCTGTCTCTTATTCTAAAATTGGTGGGAAACTGAGGTTTGAGAATGTAATGAAACAGTTACAGACTATGCATGAGCACTTGACGTCAACTCTTAGCTGCAAATACCAAGAGGTGAAGTACTATGGCAGAGTGCCAAGAAATGGTTTTAGTTCCTGGTTTTATCATATGCAGCTGCGTGATCTCGCATAAGTAACTGAACTTGTATCTATCTAGTTATCTATTATCCATCTGTATATCTCTTTGTATATAATTATCAGAGACATGACACAGGTAACTTTATAGAATTTTCTAAGCATGTTTGACAGCAAGAATTGCCCAAATAGCTGGTTGAGAATACGAACTCCTGGTATCATACTTTAGAGTTTAAGGAAAGACCCAGGCACACCCACCCTGGGGCTCCACCATGACTCCTATCAGGCAACTTGGGGAATGTATCCCTCTTTTTTTTTTTTTTTTTTTGGCATTTTTGTGTGCCTGTCCCTATAATCAATAGAACTTTAACTTTTGTGTGGAGAAATGATAGAAAAAAGGTCAAATATTATTATACTTATATTCTTGAGGCAAATATATATTGAGCTTTGTATAGATTTATTCCTGAAAAGCTATTTTGCAAATATAATCTTTGTGTGTGTGGTAAAGGTACACATTCGTGTCTTATTTTGCTATTCAAAGGCACACACCTAAGTAAGTAAATATAACTGCTATATGCTGTGAATATAGTGACGGACAAGACACAGTTCCTGTCTTTGAGTGGCTTACTTAGACTCCATGAAGAAGGTAATCAAATAAATGAGAGGGATCTAGTTCAGTCTGGAGCGTGCTTGCCTAGCATGCACGAAGCTGTGAGCTCACTCCTCAGCACTGCATGAATTGGTGTGTGGTGGTGCAAGTCTCTAATCCTAGCTAGCACTCAAGAGGTAGAGGGAGGAAGATCAGAAGTTCAAGGTCATCCTCAGGTATACATGGAGTTTGGGGACAGTTTGGGCTTTTAAAAACAAAACAACTCCACAAACACAAAACTTTAGTTAAATAGAATTAAGCATAGAAAGCTATGGTTCACTGGGATATTCTAGCTGCTCAAGAGACCAGTCACGTGACATCCTTTTGTGGAGGGAATGATTTTTTTTCCCTAGTTTGTCTTTGCAGAGAATCCATGTTCCCACCAGGTAACCACATATTTGCACAAAGATCCAGCACCTGCTGAGGGCAGAGCACTCAACAAGATGGCATGGAGTAGAGAGAGGAGATGAGGTCCTGACTACACAGGATTTACAACTATCTCTGTTCAGGGGTCATTTCTCAGAGCATCAGTCCATTGGGATTCATTTATTATGCATAAATTAACTTCTTCTCTGAAAAGGCTGTTCATTCTCAAGCGGTGACTACCTCTTAAGTGGGGGCATACATCTTACCCAGGAGGAAATCACAGTGCATGCAGGAGTTCCCTCAGCTCTTTGCAGATCCCAGATGTGACTCTGTGGCAACTGAGAAGGGTGTACAGAGACTGGGAGGACAGGGGCAGCATACAGACCTAGCATCACTAGAATTCCTTTGCTCTGTGCACCGTGGACATGAAGGCTTCTCTGTTTGTTTTTGAGACAGGCTTTCTCTATAATGTTGCCCTGGCTGTCCCAAAACTCATTGTGTAGACCAGGTCATCCTCAAATTTAGTTCCACCTGCCTCTGTCTCCTGAGTGTTGGGATTAAAAGTGTGAGTCCATCTGACACTAGTGACTTTATTTGTTTATTTATTTTGGTTTTTCGAGACAGGGTTTCTCGGTAACTTTTGAGCCTGTTCTGGAACTAGCTCTTGTAAACCAGGCTGGCCTCAAACTCACAGAGCTCTGCCTGCCTCTGCTTCCCGAGTGCTGGGATTAAAAGTGTGCGTCACCATTTCCTGGTTTAGCACTTGTTTCTGCCTCAAGAAGGGTGAGACGGGAGGAAGATAATTCCTCCTGAGCGTGAAATCAGATGCAAAGCACAAAAGGACAGGAGCCGTCCAGTTCCCTCTTTTACCTGTCTCTCTGTGTGGACAGATTGGACACCTGGTGGTCTACACTGCAGTTCTCAGACTAGACTCATTTTATTATCTTTGTCACTCAAGTTTCCCCGAATAGAATGCTCAGCTTCCTATTGCTGTTTCTTAGAAGGCCTTGGCTGAAGCATCTGCCCTCTGCGCCCCCCCCCCTCCGTTCCCCCGCTCCTCCCCCCCTCGCCCAAGTTGCTCCCACTTCCTGCCATACTGCTCCCCTCTATCTGCCTGGTGAAACCCAACACCCTTCAAAACCCAGCTCAAGTGTCACCTCCTGCCTTGGTTGGAATCAACTTTTCGCTTCGTAGCTTGCCTTGGTTTGCTATTGCCTCATTGCTTCTTCAGTTTCCTCTTGTGAACCTGGGCACAGTAGCAATATCCGTGGTACTCTGTAACTCCTTTCAGATCAGGTTTTGTGATGACAGCTGCCAGATGGGCTCATTCTGTATCCCACCCTCTTTGCGACTTTACCCGTGATCTCATTAAATCGCTAGCCAAGTCTCTGTAGACAGGTACCAGTAGTATCTTCATTGTATACGGGAGCAAAGGGTGGTCCAGAGAGGTGAAGCATCTCTCTCCAGGTCACACAACTAGGATTACACAGCTAGTAGATATAGCACAGCTGGGTTTGCCATATGCCACAGCTGGGGCTTTAATCACTGGACCAGCTTGTGTGCTGGCCCAGTGTCTGGGGAGAGAACAGAATGCATGGTGTGCTTCCAATACTTTCGGGGTTCACCCACTCTTCTCCCAAAGCCCACCCACGGGCCAGGCTTCACCAGATTGCGGTCTAGAAGCAAGCATGGCTGTCACCTGGGCAAGAGGCACACTCAACCTGGGCCAAGGAGCGAGTGTCAGCCTGGGAAGTCCGTGTTACCCAGAAGCTTTGGCTAGTGGCTCTGGAACTGTGTGGAGCTGCGTCCCGGGTCCCGAGTCCCAGGAATGTGGGAGGGCTAGGCGGGCAGGGAGGGGGCGCTTCCTCTGGCCGCGGGAGGGGAGACGCTAGAGCGTGTACCGGGCCCGCCACCGCCCACTCCCCGCCCGCCGCCAGCTTGCTGGGGGCGGGGGCCACGGCGAGAGGGCGGCGAGGGGCCGTGGAGCACTGCAGCCGCCCGGCCCGCCCGAGCGGGAGGAAGCGATGAATATTCAGAGAGGGAGGGGAGGAGAGGGGGCCGAGCGCTCGGCGCGGCTCCCTGCAGCCCGAGCCTCCTGACGCGCGGAGGAGGCAGAGGGAGCAGCCGGGGCCGCGCGAGCCGCGAGCCGGGCGCCACGCGCGGGGGGTGGGCGTCGTTTGCTCCGCCCCGCGAAGCCCCGGAGTGTCTAGGGACGCAGCCGCTCCCCGCCAGGCGCGCTAGGCTCCGCTGTGTGGCCGCCGCCGCCGCTGCCATGTCCCCGGGGAAGCCCGGGGCGGGCGGAGCGGGGACTAGGCGGACTGGCTGGCGGAGAAGGAGGCGGAGGCGGCGGCTGGAGGCGGAGACGAGGGCGCCCGGCTTCGGGCACACGGCGGGGCGCGTCCAGGGCACGTTCCAGGGTGCGCAGGGCATGAAGCCTGCGGCGCTGGAGACGCGGCCACCCCCGCGCTCACCCGGGCTCCGCTGGGCGCTGCTGCCGCTGCTGCTGTTGCTAAGCCTGGACCAGGTAAGCCTTCGGGTGGGCCTGGGCGTGTGGAGGGAGGACGCGGGCCGGACTGGCATCCCCTGCACCTGCCCCTGTGTCACCCGCTCGAGGATTAACCGGTAGGGTGTTGTGGATCGCGGTGCTGGGAGCCCGCCTCCTGGAGGGGGCTGGTGGGATCTTGGCCGGCCTCCGGCTCCCGCCACCGAGCCCCTTCCCCTGCTGCCGGGTGCCAGGGGGAGGGCGGGATCCTGGGGCCCCCCGGGTGTTCCCGCGGTGCCGGATGGACTCGCTGTGGAAGCCCCTGCGTGGGCTGCAGGCGGCAGTGGCCCGGCCTTTGCTAGAGCTGGTCACATCTGGCAAGCGCGGCCCAGCTCGCGCGGCCGCCGGGCCGGAGGGGGCGTGTTTGCGGAGGGCTGAGGATGCGGAGCAGGGCCGGCCTGGCCGAACCGAGGCCGACCTCCGACCTGCCTTGAAGGGGCCCGAGGGCTTGGGCGGAAGGGCAGTGGCGGTGGCCCGGTGCTCGGGGACAGGGCCTGGCGCAGGGCATCGGGCGGTGGGCGAAGCGCGGGACCTCGGGGTGGAGGGCGCTGTTTGTGGCGCAAGTTCCCAGCCCTGCCAGGGTGGCCGCTCAAAGGCGTTTCTTGACGCTGCCGGCCTTGTTCTCATCATCACGCCGGAGATGGTACTGGCTTTTCTAGTTGTGTATTCTTGCTTTGTGGGGGCTAGCTAACCCCCTCCTCTCTGAACTATTTTTTTTTTCTCGTTTCACTCTTTCGATAATGTTGCGCCTGGAATATGGAATCTCTCCTTTCTGTGGTAATTCCATGGGGGGCGGGGAGGTGATGCAGGGCAGTTGGGGGATATTCCCATTTAGCAGATAGGGAACTGAGGGAGAGAAGTGAAAGAGTGGAATCACCCAGCCGGTGCTTCGGGAGCTGAGCAAGCGACTTCTGCCTCACAGTCTTCTGGGAGCTGGCTGTGGTCTTGAAATCTGCAGTGGAAAGTGACCTGGAGGATGCTCTTGTCTTGATTTTTGCTAATGAAAATCTCACTAACTTTATAGATACCAGCTGCAACCAGATAGTGAAACACAAATGAGGTATTGACTGGGGATGGAACCAGGCTTCACACACGCGGGATTGTCTGAGAGGAAACACACGCACTTGGCAGCAAAACAGGCAGGCAGAAGAAGGGAGCCTGACTCTGGGGGCTGCCTTCACTCTCAGCAAGTCACTTATAGTTTCTCGCAGGATTTGCACAGGTCCCAAGGAGGCCTGGAAGGTGGCGTGAGCCCGAGCAAATAGTTCTTACTGAGTGGGTGTGACAAGAGTGCAGTGTCAAGTGAAGCATCAACCTTGAATCTGCCCCCCCCCCTTTCATCTGCAGTGAAAAGCCTCTGTAGAATGGAAATGGGGAGGGGTCACGCCATTGCTTGGTAGAATTGTTTGTAGGGCTTCAATTGGATAGTTCCTGAAAGAATTTTGCAAACATCAAAAATTCACTTTTCAGCTAATGCTTTACCAGATGGAATTAGCGTTAAGAACAGTGTGTATGGGCTGTCTTCATCCTGTGCAGCAGTCTTTGAGGTTAAAGAACTGATTTGTACTTGAAGTGCTCTCCAGCCCTCCTTTCCCAGGAATTCAGTATGTAGAATAGGGTGACTTCAGCCTCATTGAGGTTTGTTTGCCCCTGCCTCTCAGGGATCCCTGTCTTGATATTCTCTTATACTAAAGTTGATACTATAGAAGCATTTGGTTTACATTTCCCTTTACATTTGGTATATATATTACTTTTGTTTCAACTATAGAAATTGTAAGCTGTGCTTGAATTAGCAAAAAGTATCTTGGGTAAATTTATTTCTTGCTCAAGCCTTCCTTGTTTCAGTAGCAGATTGCTGCTCTTTCCTTGCCTTGTGTTTGGTTATTTCCTTCCTCTGTAGTTTGTTCTGTAGAAACTCAAGAGCACTGTCTTCATAGTCTCGTTTTTGGATTTATTACAAAATAGGAAATGTCAAAGGTTTTATGAAGAAGTATCCCCGAAAGCCCACACTCAGCAGTCTCATTTTGATAGGGAATTGGTACCCTCTCCCTCTTGTGGTGTTGGGGTTGGAGCCCAGGCTGGGGAATGTGCTCATATGTGCTCTGCCACTGAGTTGCGTTTTCATTTCCAAGTCAATGCCCTTTAGAACTGACTCAAAGGCAGTTTCATGGGCTGGGATGACGGGGCATTGAGTAAGAGCTCTTGCTGCACAAGCGTGAGGACTTGAGTTCAAATTCTTGGTACTCTGAAATGTGGCTTGTGGTCATGTGTGCCAGGGACCCACATACTATGGGGCTTGCTGGCTACCACCCTGTCTGATGGAGTGATAGGTCAGAGGCTCAGTGTGAGTACAGGTGTATGCATTCATACATGTGTGTATTACTCTGATAGAAAAAAATATATATGTACCCAGACCCTCTCTGGTAGAACTCATTATACGGACTAGGTTGTCCTTGAACTCACAGAAATCTACCTGCCTCTGCCTCTCCAGTTTTGAGATTAAAGTTGTGCATCACCATGCTTGGTTAGCTCCAGGTTTTGAAGGCAGCTCGACCTCCTCCACAGGTTGAGTGACAACCTGTGCCTAGTATTTTTGGCTGTGTTTTCACTGTGGGTGCAGTGCTGTGTTGCTGTGTATGCCCCAGACTGCTTACAAATTGAGTCCATTAGGCCAGGCTCTCAACCAACTCGAGCTCCAGGGGCTCTGACTTTCCCTTTGATCTCCACAGGCACCCACACATACGTGGCAGACAGTTACATAGTTAGACACATGTACACATCAATAAAATAAAAATAATAAATCTTTAAAAGTCAGCCAGATTTGAGATATTTTTTGAAATCATTTGTGTAGGAAATAAGAGGGAATATATTTGAAGACCTCTCTAATAGTTGATTGTTTTTATTCTTATTAAAGTGGGGAAAAAAGAGAGGTCACAGAAAAGACCCAGCTTTGTTTGGACACTAATGAGGACAGTGTGTGGAAATGGGAGAACCGAGATGCCAGAAGGCTCAGTACTTAGTAGGCCCAGAAAAGCCGTTTTTGAAACTGGCATTTCACTCCCTCCCTCTCTCAGCCCAAGACTCTAGGGCGGACGTCCGTGGTGTGCTGTGTCAACCATCCCTTTCAGACTGCACTTTACACAGTTAGGGTTTACGTATGTGTTAGGCAATGTGGGAAAGTGAGCTCTCCTTTCCCTCTTGAGAGCCCTGCTCGACAGCAGTCTGCTTCAAAATAGTAGTAGTATTAGCAGCAGCAGGAGTAATAATAATAATAATGGAAACAAAACAGAAACAACTGGTAGTCAGTTGGTTGGTCTTCCAGGGTTCCCTTTTGCTTTGTCTTGTTTTCTTGCTTTCTTGATGGATGATAAACTTAAATCTTTCTGTATTGTGGCTAGTCTATCAGCCTGGTTTCTTTCCTGCTTTAACCAGAGCGCACACACTAAATATTTTGGCTCCTCTTAAAACTGTTTTTGAACTTCTCACAGGAGTGATTTTATTTTCCTCTTGCTTCAGAACAACAAAGGGAAACCCAAAGTCTGTTTTGTTTGCAGACAGTTTAAGGAAACTGAGCAAATTGGTTTATGGTTAGTCTCTGACTTTGGGCTCAATTCAAGTTCAGCCCCTGGACAAAGATGACCAGGAATAACCATACTTTCCTGAGCAGAGAGAATCCTGGCTCCAGAGTGAGCAATTTTGGTCAGCAAAGAGGTTATTTAGCTCCTAAAAGTAATGCTTGAGGCTGAGGCCGAGTTTCTGGATGGCTGTAACCTGGCTTTGGCCAGTGCATCATAAGTAATTGCTTCTTAGCTCATTCACTTCTTGGCCAGGGGAATTATTTTGAGTGCAGGATAAGATGCAATTTTCTGTGTATTTCCCTTCTAACATCATGCCCCCGATAATATTATAATTAATAGTTAGCATTAGGTGTGGCAGGTGTAGCATTTGGGCATTCTTAATGCGTTATCTCACTTGACATTTCAGAAGTTCTGGTGGTGGCTGTTACTCCTGTTCTTATTTTGTGAGAAAGCTGAAGCTCACAGCTCTCAAAGAGTCCTAAGTAGAGCCAGGTCTCCATTGTCCCAGTTTATTGTCCTTGCTGTAGAAAGCCTGCGCCCTCAAGGTTTTCAGTATGGAACTGAGCACCTATGCCAGAGGCAAGAGACAGGCTTGTGGGCCCTCGGTCTTGATAGGGCAGAGCGTTATTTTGTATTCTTTGTGTTCCAAACCATGTGGAATTAACACCTTCAGGCTCCTCTTGGCTACTTAGGTTTCTTTGGAGTCTGAGTCTGTATGCAAAGGCACCCCTGCCTTGGTGTGAGCAAACTGCAATGGGTGAGTCTGGGTATGGGTTTTACTCTGCCACTCAGGAACTGCGTGAACTGTAGGCAAGCCAGTCACCACTACAGCTCTTCATTTCCTTATCTGGGAAGTGGAACTAATACTTCCTGCCTAGCCGGGTGGTGGAGGAGTCAAGTAAGACAGAAAGACTGTCAAGTGAATCCTAAAGCTGACCATTTGCTGGCAGTGGCTGCTGCTTTTGTATGGGGGGGGGGGGGGGGGGATTGCAGGATGGGAAGGGAAGAAAGGGGGCTTCAAGTCATTAGTTTCTAGAACAAATATTTGTCAAATGTTTCTGAAGAAGTTTTTGTTTTTAATATGTTAGGAATTATTTTAGTTAGTGAAACAGTATTTGTGACTGTATCAAGCCCATGTTTCTAGTCAGACTAGGCTGCATATGGAGTCATGGTAAGGAAATTTGCTTAAATTTAATAGTGAACCTGAGGAAGCAGTCTGAATAAATGATCATGTCTGAGGTGGATTTTGTGAAATTACACAGGTGACAAATGCTTAATTTGGGGGCCAGTCCCTGAGTAAAGCCTTCCTGCGGAAGAAGAGCCTGCTCTCTTATGAACTGTGAAGGTGGGACATGATTTAGCTCGCCACCAGGTATCTAGCCACCAGGTATCTAGCCACAGTGG